CTTAGCAACAGTTAAGAGTGAGCTAAAACGCATAGGTTAGGTGCTGAAAGAGGTAACAGGGAAGGCTAAAAAGGAAGGGGGGAGGGGAATCCCAACAGGGATGAGAGAGGAAGTTGTAGATGAATCTCTTCTACTGCATGGCTTTGTCAGGTCATGTATCTGTCCCCCCACCCCACCCCCATTAGTTACAGGATTACAGGTATGGGAGAAAGAGCATCTTGATGGGCAAGGTGAGGGCTCGCTTTAAGAGCCTTGGGTATCTCACATTTGTCTTCATTCATTCAAAAAACATGTGTATTCATGCAAGCAATAAATGGTCCGTTGCATCTTGTGGTGGATTGCATTAATGGCCCAATTCTTCACCCTTCCCTCTATCCATGCCCTTTGCCTTGTAACTTGTAGCATCCCTCTGATCTGTGTGCAGTGAAGTTCCCATCCTTGAGCTTAGCTATGTATCTTTCTCCATTGACCAATGGGATATTAGTAGACGAAGCACAGGCATTCTGGTCTTGCTTCCTCTTGTGCTTCTGCCATCATCATGAGAAGAACGGGCCCAGACTAGCCCTTCATCCCCAGAGGTGTATGAGAAACCCATGGAGCAAAACTGTCCCAGCTAAGTTGCCCCAGTCAAAGTGCAGAAGCAGAGCCAGCCCAGCGGGGGATCAGCCCAGGTCCAGCCTAGATCAGCTAGACTTCACAGACCTGTGAAAAACTAATGTTGATGGTGGTAAGCCATTGCCATTTTATAATTTTTGTCGTGCCACAATTTTGTGGCAATAGTAACCGATACACACCCCTGTGGTCTTCCAGGAACTGTTCAGAACACTGGAGACGGCAGCAGGCAATAAAGCTGGCCACAACTCTCATAGAGCTTACATTCCAGTAGAGCCCTTTAGAGTTTACACACATGTGTTACTCACTTAATCCTCCTAACCCTGTGCATCAGTCCCATTTTTGAAGGGAGGAAACTGAGGCTCAAGAATGCTAATTTATTTGCTGATGATAACACCCTAGTAAGTGCCAGAGCTGGGACTCAAACTCATGTCTTCTGATTGCAGGTGCTATACTCTTTCCACCACCCCATAGCAACCTCTACCTTCTGCTAAAGTCAGCACCTCTCATTGGAGTTACAGAGGGACCTGACTGGGGTGGGAAGATGGATGGGAACTGCAAGTGTGACCCAAAAAGGACTGCTCTGTTATCGACCAAATGAGAAACAAATCTCATTTTTATCCCAAAATTGTTCTTCCTTGCAATTAAACCAATCTCTGTTTACAAGTATTTAGCATGATTCTAGAAATTACATTTTGAAATTATGCGAACAGAGAGAGAAGGCAGCCCACACAGTGAGTGATTTCATGTGGGTAATTGGCTGCTGGTTCTGGCTCCAATGATGCCTTCCCTTTTAGAGCATAATTAGTAATTTCAAAGGAAACTGTTAGAAATGGCCTGGGTCTCCAAAGAAAAGCTTTTCTAGCTCTTAACATTAGGAGATCTACTCAAATGCATGCTGACAAATTTTTCTTTTTGTTTTCTGCCTTTTTATAATGACCTTCAAAGGTTAGAAAGGCTGTGGATATATGGAACTCTTCCAAATATGAGAGAAATCCAAGATTTCCATTAGAAAACTCAGGCTTTCTTACTCCTCCTTTCTTCCTGTCTCCTTACCTTTCTTCTTTCTGAGAAAGACACGGAGTATTTGAATTTTAAGAAGGTATATTCATTAGGATTATATTAAAAAATTTAAGCGAAAGAAAAGCTTATTTGTCTCTCCTATAAGAAAATCTTTCAGCAGTCATGGGCTGCTATGGTGGGTCCATGTTCAGCAAAGACTAGGTTCCGTATAGCTTATCCTCAAGGTCACCTCGTGATCCAAGATGGCTGCTGAAGATTCAGCCATTACATCCACATTCATCCACCAGGAAGGAGGAAGGTCTAGTTCCTCCCAGCTGAGGAGCTTACTTTTAGGGAGATTTGCCTAACGTCCCACAGAACAATTCTCCTTACAGCTTGTTGACCAGAACAGAAAAACATGGCCATTTCTAGCTGCAAGAGAGGCTGTTATCAGTACAACTAAATATAGGGTTTTGGTTCTAAAAAGGAGGAAAAGAAAAAGAAACTAATTTTTGCCTCAAAAGTAATAGTGGAGAAATGTGGGCATGTAAACGGAATGACAGTACAGTTTGGTTGGTTTGAAACTAATACTAAAACTAAAGAGATCTGGTTAATTTGTCAACATCATGCTATGAGCTTGGGGTGTAAAAAGTCTTTATCTTTTGCTCCATTCTGTTATCAACAGTTGTCCATGATTCAGGGAAAGACAAATGAGAGTCCTCTATCTCTGCTGATAGCACAAACTGGGAAGGTTAGCTACCATGTTGGATAATAGAATCAGGATCCAGAAGCTCTGGAAAGGCTGACATGCTTGTCAGAAAATAATCAGAAAAGAACTTAACAGAGAAAAAATATAAAATTCAATATTTAGATCTAGAAAATGAACTGCGTAACTACAGGATGAAAGAGAATTGATTTAGTTGCAGATTTAATCTCCGTGTGTTAAAAGTGAGATGTGACCATTAAAAGATATAATTGGATCTGGCCTTTGACAGGAAGGAAACTGAAGCTAATATTTATAGAACACCTACCATATGCCACACCCCTTACTGGGCCCTTATGATTCTAGAAGGTAAGTGCTGCTATCCCCTCAATCACAGAGAGACCAAATCATGGCCCAGTTTCGCATGACTGGGAAGGACAGAGCTCTGTTCTTCCCTCTCTCCACAGATATGACCCCTGTAAGGTGAGACTGCTGGCCCTGCCTGAAATTCCCTTTGTAGAGACTGCTCCTTGGGGAACAATTCTAACTGGCTTGGAGAACACTTTAGCCAGGTAGTGTTAACAGCAATTAGTTCATCTGATTAAGCAATTAGCAGTCTTTGTCACTTAGCAGAGATCAGGGGCTCAGAGGAACCAAAGCATAACAGATAAGATATGAAGAGGAAAAGTGGGAGGGAGGCACCCCAGGAAGCAGCATAGAAACTTGCAGAGCGAACCAAATGCCTGTGAAGAGGAGAGGGATGGTGGATGGTAGACTTGGAATACTTAGCTGCAGTGAAGACCCGCAGTAGCCCAGTAACATCCTTCAGGACAGATGTGGAAATTGAGCCACAGGGTCAAGCAAGAATTTCCCAATGGGTGGATTCCAACTGGCCAATTCAATGGATCTCAGCTCTGGCTGCACATCAGAATAACCTGGGGACTCTTAAAAATACCTATGCCGAGGCCTAACTCCAGAACAATCACATCAGAATATCGGAGAAAGGGGCCCAGGCACTGGCATATGTAAAAGCTCTCAGGTGATTCTAATGTTCAACAAATGTGGGTGGGCTTGGAGACCCTGGTGGCGGGTTGCTGAAGCAGGAAGTGCATATCCACCATGGCTTTCCCCAGGTAAGAGGGGAGATATAGGGCCCTTCCCCGTTTGCTTGGGAATTTCATCACTTAAACACAGCCTTCCCTCTGCCCAGTTTCAGGGCTTTGGGGATGAAGCACTTCCTCATCAGAGGTTGAGAATCCCAGGAGAGTGAAGGCTCACAAATCCTGGAGCCATTCGGTCTGGCCTCTTTCTTCCTCCCAAGACAAAGATGAATCCCCTTTTATTCCATGCTCACTTCCGGATCCTCCCTGGCTCCATTTCTGCCTAGAATGCCCCACTCCTCCATGAGCTCCCTTCATTCAAGTCTGAAATGCCCACTCTTGGATGAATTGTTCCCCAGTTTCAAGAATGGGAGGATTTCACTGCTTCTTTTACTTTGCATGATTATGCAACATCCTCAATGCATTTACTCTTTGCTGTTGTAAACTATCCCAGAGTTGACAGCTATGCCATGCAAATCACCAGTGAAGTTGGCTAGACACAGGACTCTTGGGGTTTACTCCCTAAAATTCTAAATCCGAAGGTCCAGGGTGGGCTTAGGAATCTGTATTACTAAAAATACTGCCCACTTTAGCCAGGTTTGCCCCTTGGCTTGTACAATATTGTATAAAATGTTAACAAGGAGCCCTTCTTAGGGTACTGTAGTCTTAGGCAATTGTGTGTGTAGGTTTGGGGAGGGGGGATGTTTAATTGTGTTCCACAGGAATTACCAGCCATTCATACTTCTGCTCTAAGAGGAGAGAAAGTTGAAGAAATTAATTCTTATTTTATACCCCAAGTAGAAAGTTACTTTTTCCACCAAAAGAAATGTAAAATTCCCCTTGCATCTCTACAGTGTGGAGAATGCTGATTGCAGCAGAGAATGAAAAGAGAATACAGAGCAAAGGAGAGAGAGGTGAGCTACAGGCCATCTGCATTTGTAGGTTTTAGAAAGATTAACCTCTGAAGAAATTAGTTGATGGAAAACTAAAGATTTCTTGCAAATGAAACAAGAAAAAGATACTCCAACTTTATTTTCTACAAGATAACAGTATCACAGGACAGATGAAAGGGGAGCTGGCAAAACCACCAAGAGGCCTCAAGGACAGACCAGATTAGACACTCTTCTCTTTGACGCACCGACTACAGGCCCACATATGTTCCCTGAGAAGGAACAACTGAAAATTGATACCAAAGCTCTAAGATAGAATAGCTATACATGAATAAACACTGGAGTAAAATATATATTTCTAGAATGTTCTCATTCTAGAACGTAGGCTCAATGTTTGTCTTTGGGTAAAATCTCAAGATTTCAAAAAAAAAAACACCCAAAAAACAAAAACACAAACACCTGGCACTGATTATGCATATGCAGATTAAGGTATTTAGGTCACTATTACTGTCAAGATTTAGTGCCCCGGAAAAGAGGAAAGCAGCAGTTTTTCCAGACCACATTCCCAACAGGGTTTACCTGATCCGGGCCTGCTACATGTTAGATTGGTGTGTGAAGCAAATGTTTTAGCTAAAAATTGAGAAAGTTCATTGACTGACACTTAGCCACTGTTTTTTTGCCCATGTGTTTCAGTCAAGAGAATCTTCTTCCACTGAAAGCTCCTGGAGGGCAGGGATTTTGCTCATTTCATGCGTTTCTCTGGTACAATGCATCCATCACCTGGAAGGGAATTGAGATTAGAAGAAGGCTCTCTCACCAGCAGCCACCTCTTGATGCCCTGGAGCTCAAGCAGCCCTTCACCCAGATCCCCGCGGTAGGTAGTAATCTTTCTCCTTGTCACTTGAAATGTTTTATGAGAAATAGAAGATTAAAAAAATACAGCCACTTGGGAGAAAGAAAGACTATGACTAAAATTGGATTGACCTGTATTCCTTTGGGTTGGGTGGCTTATTCTCCGTATTTTTGTGATTTGAACCTTGGCTAGTTATTGCTCTGGGAAGATTATGATCAAGAGTAGTTCTGTTTGGAGGCAGACATAGCCAAACAAACATTTTATTCATTGCATATAGATACCCAAAGGAAATCCAAGGTGGAAAGGGAAGCCCAGGAGACACAGATCCGTAGGGGGCCAGGGCCTGCTTCCTAAGGGATTTGAATACCTGCTTGATGGAGAGCAGTGTGTGTGTGTGTGTGTGTGTGTGTGTGTGTGTGTGTGTGTGTGTGTGTGTGTGTCAGGGGGGGAGGGGGTGGTGTCATTAGATGATATTCCTAAATTTAAATGCTGAGTGTACTGATCTCTATACTCTAATCTGACTTATTTGTGACCAAGCTCTGTGGAAAGCAATCAGAACCATAGAAAGCTGACATTTGTCAAGCTGAGAGCAGCCCCTTCAAGCTCCTGTTAAAGTATTTAAATTTGTCTAGGAGTTTTCTATCAAGAGAGATATAACTGCAGAGGATGTTTGCATCTATTTGGAAGTTCCTAAATGTGCAAGGACTTGAGGATTTCTTTTCCTCCCTGGCACTTGGGGAGGCCCAGCACTCTGGAGAGGTCCTTGAGCCTTTTCCCTCGATGGCAATCTATTGGTTTTCTCAGAAGAGGCCTTGAACCTCTAAGTTCCTTACTTCTTCCCTCCAGAGCTTTTGCAAGACCCTGCTGCTAAATGTATTGTCTCATTTCGTGCTTTTGGGAGATAGGTGGATTCTAATCTCCTTGACGACTCTCTTGCAGCCCTTGGCATCGACACCCTTGCAAATCCTCCCCCCTTCCCTCAGCCACCTCAGAGTGTGTGGTGTGTAGAAGCCCCAGCTGTCATCTCCCTGGGTCTGAACTCAGATATGAAGTCAGAGTGATCTGGGGGAACACGTGGGTGCAGTGGAGGAGGCTGTTCTTGTGGGAAGGGGCTGGGACACTCGTCCTGAGCTGGAATGACACTCACTCGTACATTTGGGGACATGAGAATGTCATGAATATCCAGTGTGGACAAGGGGGTTTACATAAAGAGCTTCCCAGGTGAAATTGTAGAGGGGGAGACAATTGGGATGATACGGTCAATGGCAGAAATCATTTAAAATGTTTACCTAGATCAGATACTTGTAAATGGGGAGTGTTCTTAACCCGAGGAAGAATAAACAGGGCTCCATGATAGACTGACTTTGTGTAGTCTATAAAACCTCTGAAATGATAGTTAAAATTGGTTTTATCAGAATCTCAAAGAGGTATGTGGCACATGAAAAGTTAAGAACTGCTTAAATCAGTGACTTGTGCTTTTGGCATGCCTACCCAAGCCCCTAGCAACCAGGATACTCTGGGAAAGCAGAAATAGCGCCTCATGAGGATAATATCAGTACTAGGAATCTTGTCCAGCACTATTATATTAAAAGTCTGTCTAAGACAGGAAACCCAGAGACCATAAAAGAAAATATGGACAGATTTTATTATATAAAATAGAAAAGTTTTTATACAGAAAAACACAATAAACAAAATTAAAAGCAAATAATACTCATAAAAATATTTATAATATTTGTAAGTTAATCTATGTACAAAAGAAGTTTAAAAATTGGGAAAAGACCTAAAAAGTTCATTTTTAGATGAGGATATTCAAACAGCTAATATTTAAGAACAAACCTCCCTAGTAATCAAATATATTCAAACTAAAGCAGAGAGACACATTTTACACAAATTTGATTGGAAAAACGATCAATAATGTCTAATGTCTAGCCATAAACTGTTGTGGGAATATAAACTGGTGTAATATTTTCAGAGAGAAATTTGACAGTTCCTAATTAAGTTTAAAATGAATATAATTTTTGATCCAGAAATTTCACTTGTAAGAATTTATTCCCCAGAAAAGTCAAGTGAGTGTGTACAATGTTTACTGAAGCAATGTCATAGGAAAAATCTGATAGCAACGTAAATGTTAATTAATAGTAAAATGGTTCATAATACATAACAGGTGTTCTATATCATGGAATACTGTGCAGCCATTAAAAAAGAATGATGCCGGGCCGGCCGAGTGGCTCAGTTGATTAAGAGCTCACTCAGGAGTTTGAGCTCTGAGCAACAGCGGTTCGAGTCCAGCCCGAGCTGAGCAGCTGCTGAGCTGCCAACAGGTAGCAGGATGGCTCAGCTAAAAAAAAAAAAAAAAAAAAAAAAGAATGATGCCTTTCTGTGTGTATCGACATGGAAGAAGGTCCACGTTATATTACTGCACTTAAAAAAGTAGAATCCTATTTTTATTAAAAACTACAAAACAATGTGTATAAGTATATGTGTGTGTATTCATGTACACACATTTCCTACGGGCATAGCTAAAGTTCTGGAAAAATACATACATATTAAATTTATCTACATAATTGTTCTGTTAAATTTATCCCCCTGTGATGTTGCGGAGTCCCTCTTAAAATCAGTTTTCAGCATATTGTTGAATTTTTCAGCCTGTATATACTACTTTGTAATTGTTAAAAACAAACACAAACACCCCTTTCCTTAAGAGTTAAGTGTCCACCCAACCCAGCTGTAGTACAGTTTATTTAAATGCTGTCTTTACCCAGTTTTGAGGCCTTGGCTAGAGGTTGGTGAGTTCCTCTTCTTGAGCAGACAATTAATTCTATACCCCCAACTACCTCCTTTATGGGGCTCTCACACTCCAAGCCATTAATTGCCCCAGGGCCAGGTACCAGACAACCAGGGACAGCCCCTAAGCCACAGAGCCTGGCGAAGTTATTCAAACTAGCCAACCCTAAGTGTTCTTCTCCTGCCTCACATGCTCCTTCCCGTAGAAAACACAATAAAGGCTCTTGCCCACAGTCCTATTTTCTCTCTCTGCCTTATGACCCACCCTGGTGCTTCCCTAAGTGATCCTGCATGGCACACTGTGCTTTTCCCAGGGAACTGGGAGGATAACAAACTGTAAAACTCTTTCCAGCTTCTCTCTCTTGACCTGCATTTGTCCTCACCATTGGTAATATGGTTAAAACACCAGTAAAACGTGCTTAGCCGTGCTTTCAAGGAACACTGCATGGGTAGATGCCCAGTGCTTATAGAGGTGACCCCGGAGCTGCCCTAATTTTACCTGACTTTGCCTGGTATCTCCCCTTGGCTTCCACACTACTGACCTCTGCACAGGTCCTGGTGCCTCTTGCCCTAGTGCCGGCACATGATGCACCTTTGGCTCCGTTTCTGGCTCTGACTTGGCCTCTCCCATCTGGTCCAGCTCCCCTCACACATGGCCCAGCATCACAGGCAGTCCTCTAGCAAACATCACCAATGATGCACAGAGACAGAGCAAACTCGGGGGCTTTGACCTGGAGTGGACTGAATTCGGGGTCATGAAGCAGGCAGGTAGACTGTCAGGAATTTCGAAACCTGGGAAACTGGCAATCATCAGCAATCTCCCTGAAGCCGATCCCATATCAAAAACAAGAGCACGCATGGCTACCAGAGCTGAGGGAAACACACTCGTTCTTCAGAGCCACAAGGATAGGTTGATAGAAGGCAATTAGCACACCTACAGATGAGGCAGTGTAGGTGATAGAGTGAATTCATAAGGCCTTGGTTTGAATCTGGTTCTGCTGTTTCTGTGCTAGCTGCATAGACGTGGGCACTTAAACCTTTTAAGCCCTAATTTCTTGATCTGTAAGCTAGACATAATGATACCCACCCATGCCCACCTCATAGGTGGTTGTGAGACTCCATGCCCCGTGTCTCCCACTACAAAACTGAGATCTAGAAGGTACGAGAGCTGCAGGTTAGAAGACAACAAAGAGGCTCTTTGTGGGGGACGCCTTGATCCCGACGAGAAGCTTCTTACTGATGTGTGTCTGCTCTGGCCCTTCAAAGGCCCTCTGAGCAGAAGAACTCAAGGTGTGGTTGCAGTTGGCCAGATATGGGGAGAGTCTCGGGTAGGGAGTTCCTGATACTGGATTGGGCATGTCTTCTACCCCATTCACCTCTCCACATGTTGCAATTCTGGACTCCATAGACTCATATTCCATGCCCTTCTCCCAAACACCCCCCTGCTCCACATACATACATACCAACTTTCCTCTCACCCCTCTTTGGAGCTGATAAGCTAAGAACCACACGCCTGTGTTTCAAATCTCAAGTGAAGACATGAACTCACAAAGTTACCTCTCTGCAACCCCCTCTTGTTCACCAATTCCTCAGAAATCTCAAACAATTTCCATTATTGGCAGACACAGTGTTTCCTTGTTGCGTGCCACTTTCATACAACTAGAATTTGTAGACAAGAAAAATGCAGCTGCTACGCAGTACTAACTGGGCCTTTATGTCGCCTCACAGGCGGGAGACTGGCTGTGGAATGCCACACACCTCCTTATCACCGCTTGCGTGCTGGGACCTCTATTCATTTTATGCATTGTGTATCTCAGAATTTTCCAGGATGTGGTGCAGACTCATGTTGCTTGCTCTCGGAATTATGCGAAAAGCTATTCTTTTTCTTGAGCAAGAAATCATAGGCACTCCAGAACCCTTCTGACTCAGGCAGAGCTATGGGGCGAGTTTTCCACAAAAGGCAGGAGGAATGAATTGATACTGACTTCATTAACTAGCCCTCCCAAAAGGACGGGAGCTCCCTGCCCCTAGCCAAGCGTGAGAGACTTTCTGAGGCAGCAGGCCTTTAAAAACTCACAGTGGACCTTCATTTGTTTAGCTTTGGGGTTCCATTATGTGTTGGCTGAGAAAGCAGCAATCATTAGTGGCCTGTTTTTTTCAATTAAAATAATTAAGCCCCTGTAAGTATTCGGGGGAGGGCTGGACTTGGCAGTCTGGGAGAGCTGAGCTCTCTGTCA